TAGCCCAGACAAATTCTTTATTTTCACAGAAGGCTGTAACAAAGCAGTCTTCATCACAGGTATGTTACGCCTGTCAAATCAACACCATTTTCTTTCAATGGGTAGTGTCCTGAAAAAAGCATATAGCAATCCAGCAGACAAGCCAAAAAAAGAGAGGGAGTTCCAGTTCAGCTGGATCATTTGTAATGCACTAAATATACATTGATTTGGGATTTTTCAACTTCCAAGCAACAAAATCACAAGATAATGTACATATTTAATGGCAAAAGCAGCTTGCCTTCTTGAATATACTGCACAAATCATAGTTTGAGAAAGACCTGATTTCTTAAATTGGCCTATTTTTTCTCTCACAGGAGAAGGCATTGTTGAACCTATTCCTCTGAACATTAAAACAGGTTTGTGATACTTCCTAATTTACTTAGTTGGATATCAGAGCTTCTCAACTGCTTACATTCATCGTTTGAACTTACATAGGCAGAAGTGGGCTTGGTCACGAGGAATTAAAAAAGCGTAAAGCTGAAGAAAAACTGGAAAACTATAGACAAAAACTCCATATGAAAAAACAAGCAAATGAACAAGCTGCAGATCAGTTCAGGTAAAACGATGTAACTGAAATTCCAAGCAATGTCTAAACAACCATTCTTTTTATGCTTTAAGTTTTGTAATTCTTTTAATGTGTTACTGTTTTTGAATGTTGCTTGAATGAGAGGTAGGAGTTGAAATACAGAGTAATTATTGTTCAGTTCTAAAGCAAAAGCAGATGAACACTGTAATGCTAAAAGTGTGTGCTGTGTCATTTATTCTTGTAAATGTTAATGCAGACAACACACATGCTAACTTTTCTCAAGTCATTTGCAACTTCTTAAATCAGAGAACTGTGTCATCTTTTTTAATGTAAAAACCACAGATAATCTTGCAGTGTTGCTATAACAGTTTTAAAAATCAGGGTAATTTTTTTCTGGTTTATTGTTGCTATTTTCTCCTGACTTGCTTGTTGTATGTGGAGAAGAAAAGTCTAGGGAAGGCTGTATCTTTTGCAGATGTTTAGTGAACCACTTTTTTCATGTCTTACGAAAACCTGGTGGAGAAACAGTATTCAGTGTAGCATGATCAAAAAAGCTCTGTCTTGAAGGAATAATTCCCAAGAAATAAATGCGTGCTCCCATAGAATCAACATCAGAAGCACTTCTTAACTTCAATGTTATCCTGGTCTGAGAGAATTGGGAGGGCTACAATATTAGATTCTCTGTTTAAGAAAAGCTGTCAACTGTAATACATCTCGCTGTTTGTTTACCTGTTTATTTCAGCTATCTACTTTTTCTTAACAGAATAAGATTCAAAAACAAACAAGAAGAACGTAAGATGGAAGGGGATCTTCGAAAAAGCCAGAAGGCCTGCCAGCAATTAGACATGCAAAAAGTGAGACCTATATTTTTTGGGGTTGGAAGGAAGGCTTGTAGGTTAGAGATACAGGCTACAAACAAAGGAGCGATTCAATTTTTGGAAGTTCTCTAAAAGTGTGGCATAACTAGCCTGAAGTCTTGGTGTTCAGTAACACTAAAGTCCTTTCAAAATATTTCAGAGTATATGTTTACACCATTAAGATATTTGAAGTTGTACACCAACCTCACGGTACCTTATGCGAGGACCCATGTTAATTTGTGTCATCAGAGCTCACCTGCTTTTGGTCCTGCATTCTTTGGTTACTTTTGAGCTGTTTGCATATCTTTCAGTAGCCAATGTCAGGCTGCCCCAAATGATGGTGCTGTTTGTTTGCCTCAAAGGAGGGAGCAACATCATCACAGAATGGTTGAAGTTCGAAGGGACTCTAGAGGTCATCTTGTCCAACCCTCCTGCTTCGGCAGGGTCACCTAAAGAGATTGTCCAGGACAATGTCCAGACAGCTCTTCAGTACCTCCAAGGATGGGGATAATCACTGAGGCAATTGGCAGATTCACCAAAGAAGCATTTAAACAAAAGACAAACCCAAAACAAAGTACCTTCCACCTGCAAGGAATAACATGGGCAATAGCAGTGAACTACTATAAATTTTTTGCCACTTGAAAACTTCAGGTATTTTTCTTTATTAATCTGTTAAGAGGTTAATGCTGCCCCACAAGTTCTGCTGAGATTGTTTGATACTCCTTAGTCTGCTTCAGACGAAGTTGGCTGAATTTGTTTAGGTCATCTTTGTTGACTCTTCTTTTAACTTTACCTGAGGTGGATTAGGAAGCACTGCATAATCTCTCAGTAAAATGACTTGGGGCAGCATGTCTTCAACTGATAAAAAAGGGTATCTCTTCACAGCCTTGGTGTGAGATTATGTTGTTGTGTAGCCTTACACGTACTGAACATAGGTAGAATAGAACTTTATATTAGCATGTATTTACTTGTTTTTAAAAAAGTGAATAATCCTTCTTGTGGACCACTGTACTTATTTTCCCACTACAGCTTTAGTAATTCTTGGTTATACTCTACAAGAAAGTTTTAAAACCTAACATCTCACCTATTGGAAATTGGTTTTATCCAGCACGTTACAAAAACACTACAAAGGTAGATAATTTTCACTTAAATCCTTCATTATTTAAGGATATTGATGTTCCCAAGGAGGCTTGGTATTGGATACAACCTGAAGAGGAAGACAAAAAGGATGAGGAAGACAAGGAAGATGAATGCACAAGCTCGGACTTAAGTGTAAGCTCTGCAACTAAATTAATGGCTTGATTCAGAATTAAATTTAACGTTCCTTTAAAAAGTATGTATCTATACATACGTACATGTATAAAGGATGTATGTATACGTGTGTCATTTTCCAAGCTGTAGTGAATAGTCTCTTTGCAGTCTCAGAGCAGTGATATTTACAGCAGTTACATGATGAAATATAAAACACTAAACCACTGATTTATTGCTCATCTGTTTTGAAGCTAATCTTTGGAAAAAGTAGTCTAGAAATTAAATTCTAAATGTTTTTGTGTCTTAGCCAAGATATGCATGATCACGTATTTGATCAAAGCTATTTTCTTTTGAGTTTTAATTTTTGGATGCCTCATCTCATGTCTTAGGCTGAGTTTTAGAATCACTAAGTAATTTCTGAAAATGTTTCACAGATTATCTCAAGATGGACACTGGAAATTCACATTTTTTTAAGAATTAGATTACACAGCTGTTCTTAGCCTTATGTGTTTGATTTGCAGAGATTAGGTGTGAAAACTTCCACCAAAAATAACATACTTGAAATAAGGTAGCTAGGAAGTATTTTTAGCTCTCTCTTCGGTGCAGGTTTCTTAGCTGGAAAGAATGATGAGCAAACAACAACCATTAACTTTCCAGAGATGATGAATTCCTGTGCCATATGCTACAAATTTGGGAAACCTTATGCCTTACTGAGCTACAGTATTGTGTAGCTTTTCCATAGCAAAAGGTTAAACAATCTATTTTAGCAAAGCTAGTAGCTCAAACTCCTTTATGTCACATGAGCCTCAGATCGTTGCATACCTGTACATGTCTCTAGGTATCAGAAAAGCTACACATCCTGACTGCTTATTTGAGAGAACAACACTTTTATTGCATTTGGTGTGGAACAACCTATGAAGGTGAGAGTAAACCTGTCTTGTGTTTTACTTTGCTTATGCAGCTAGACTCAAATAGTACAATATATCCTTTATGTCTGTTACTGCCGTTTTTTAAATCTACATAGCAAATTTTCTTTCCAGGCTGTTTTTTGCACAAAGCCTTGTATATTTTGATTATAAGCCAGTTTTTAGGTGTTTACATGCGCACACACACACAAAAAAAAAACCCAACCAACCATACTGACATTTATTTGAATTGGTATTCATATTAATTTTGTTTTGAGAAAACAAAATTCAGATATTAAAAATAGTACCATAAAAAGCTGCAAAAGCTTGCAGGTGTTTCTGAAACAGTTAGAACACTATCCAATTTCACTGCACCAAAGAGGGCAGAATTTGTGTTCACTATTTAAAACAAAGTTTGGATTTAATAACTTGCAAACTGTCTTGAATTCTATTATTTAATCTGCTTTACATGGACTCTTCAAATAACACTAGCAACTTTCCTGCCACCCCCCCAAGCCTTTCCTCTGAGCTGGAATTACTCACTTTCTCTCTGCTTATCCTGTAGACTCTGAAGACTTATCTTCAAACTGCCCTGGAGACAGTGCTGCAGATCATGATTAAAGCCTTTCTAAAGGAGCGAGTCCTAGATAAGTATGTATAGTTCATAATACTTTTTGGAACGTTTGGAGCTGTGCCATACTGAAGAATTCACACTGAAGTATGCAGAAGAATAGTTATGTTGACAGGTTAAACTCACATTTCTGAAGCATCTTACAGATTTTCTGCTCGATGCACAATTTAACAGGAATTAAAGCTTTGCATTTATAATTGGAACTACCATAATTGAGGGGCAGGTTAAGCCTTCCACAGTCCTTCGTTATTCCTTGCCCAACTGAGTAAGATCAGCTGATAACAAAATTCAGGTTTGAATAAAGGAATAAATATTGGCTAGTTACTCTGTCGTGTAATGTGTTAAACAGTTTTTTTTCCATCTTTGCAGAGATGACTAAGCATCAGACTTTCTTTCCTTACTATATTACACCTAGTGGGAGAAAAAGCTTGTGAAACATTACAGTGACGTTATTTGAACCAATATTCTGTTGTACATAAAGGTGCATATTTTGCATAACTAAATAGTACTAGATCATGTTGTGGAGTTGTAGGGGTTTTTTATATAAAAAAATACATTTTAATAGACATTTGTAGAGAACAGCAGTTGCTACTGTAAACAGTCACTGATAGAAAGGTACTGCTGAAGTGTACAAATACTACAAAAAAAGTATCAAAATCTACTGGGACAAGCTCGATATTACTTAATAGTAAGAAGGTAATGGTATTATGGGTGCTCTGTTCAAGAACTGTAAAGGATATTCAACCAGAGTTTGTCACATACCAATATATTGTAAGAGTAGTTTTATGGGTGAAAGGAAAGTGAAAGTGGAACTAGTGGTATTTTGTCTGTGTCAGGATATAATTTGTCGCATATCTTGACCACTGCAAATAAATACTTATTAGTCCAGGATAGTGAAATGCTGTCTGTATTTGTCATTCATGATAAGGAGAAAAAAATAAAAAACTTTAGGCCTTACAAAAGGATCTAAAATCAGATTCTCGTTTAGCAGCAAATACTTGAAGCAGATCAGCAATAATTTCCAGAGGAATATAAAAATTACTATGTGTTCATTTATATTATTCCTTTTAACCAAGCACCCACTTTTAACTTATTTAACATTTCAGAAAAAGCATACACTTTACTACATGTAGTACCTATTTGTCTGCTTAGAAATCCCTGCTTGTTTGCCTTTATGGAGTTATGTGGGCTCCACAGCAATAAATAGTTTGACTAGATACAGCTCAAAGACAATAATCTGAAGGACTGATATTCCTGTCTTTTGTTCTGGCTCCCTACCACCCCACGCACAGTTCTTCCAATCTAGGCAAGTCTGAACTCTTTGAAGCAAATAACTAAAAAGTAACAGGCAAACTGCTGTTACCTTTTTTGGGGCTGACAGTAAGGCCATCAGAGGTATTCAATATGCTTGTTAAGGGTTAGACACGCCTCAGTATTACAATAAGGGATTAAAACCTAGTATTATGGGAGATAAATTTTAAGGTGCTCTTTCAGCACAGGATTGCAAATGGTTACTACTGAGGAAACTCTAGATAATTTTGCTATATTAAGAGTATCTTAAGTGTTCCTTTCAGAAAAAAAAAAAAAAGAATCTCAGAACCTAAGGTTTTTAAAAGTTTAGAAAAAATCTAAACCAGTTTTCCTAGAACCTGAATGCTTACTTTAAAAGTATGCATTTTTAAATTCTAGAGCACTGAAGGTTCAACAGGTGTGTAGAGAGAATAAAGTTCACCTTAAAGAACTGAAATTCAGTGAAGAGTAAACCACACCTATTCCTATTATCTTTTCTACCAAAATTAGTCTTGGTATTAATTGGGAGCATTCTAGTAATTATTAAAAACATCAAAAACATCACTGAACACATCAGAAAGGTTGAAGTCACATATCACAAGACAGCACTTCTTCCATGGAAAGCAATAGATAACCTCAAACGATAATGGATATAGCACATGGTAAGAGGATGCATACAGGGATTTGCCACAGGCCATTTAGCACCATGTCAACTTAATTTTCAAGGAGACAAGGACTAGGTTCCTGTACTTACTGTACAATATAGTTCAGCTCATCCACAACCTGTGTTTTCAGGTAAAAGTCACAAGTGATTGCTTGCAGAAGTACGCTGTCCTGATCTGCAGCTGATGGGCATGAATGGCGATGTGACTGACCCTTTTGGCCAACAAGCTCCTTAACGGCAGGAAGGTGAAACACCAAGAAAAAGACATGTCCTACGTCTTGCTGTTGCTTCTGGCATTTACTGTTACTTTGTCAGTTTCAACAGACATCAAACTCTGGATTTAAACACAGCCTGAAAGCCTTTTAAAAGGGCATTTACTGAGTGTGAGTTTTAAATGAGTTGTCTTTATCAACAGACTTAAAAAAATCAAGTATTTGAGATGCAGAGCATCTTCCTGAAGGGTCTCTTGAAAGCATCTTTTTGATGATGGGTACCTGCAAAAGGAAATTAAATGTTAATAAATTATTTTTTATGAGTAAATAAACTACTGAAATAATGTATTAAAATCCCATACCTCTATTGGAAATTGGTTGGTGAAGCTATCTGGAAATTTACCTTCTCTAACATCACGCCATATCTGAAATTCATAAAATACAACAGTTTCAGTATGTTTTCATTGGTTGTATTTTACATCTCACTTTATGACCCATATGATTTACTGAAGTAATTAGGAAAATGCAAATCTACAAAAAAGGTAAGGCTTCAAAAAGAAAGTAACTGTAAACAGTTCAAAAGTTTTTTCCATTTAGTTGTACTATGTTTTATTATTATGGTCTTTTCATCAGCTGTTGTCCCTTTTTTAAGCTTAAAAGCTTCACATGCCACAATGATGTGTTTGTTCCAGGAATCCTCTCTATTTCTAGAACAATTATCCTTCTTCCCTTAATTGAAAGTAGTGGTTTTATATCCTCTTACCACATTAAAAAACAACCAAAACCACACAAGACGACTAAGTTTCCTACTTTGGATGTTACTACTTGCAAGCCAAGCAGGTGTGCTTCCTCCCTTTGACCTTGTTCAGTACCACACACTTACTTCTGTGTTGCTGCAGAAAATGCTACGTGGAGTTCTTAGAAACTAACATACAGAGAATTTCTAATTACATGCTTTCAGAAACCGTTTCTGGGTAACAACTATTTTTTTTCTACATGACACAGCTTTCTGGGTAAACAGAGCAGTCCACACCGTTCACTTTGCTGTAAACTAGTGTAATGTGTGCCTGAAGAAGACGACAGTCATATTCTTGCACACTTAGCTGTGCATCCTGAATCATGAGCTAGTCTTATGGATGCTATAGCCAGGCTTATCAAGCCCTTATAACCAATATCCAGTAAAACACCACCTCCCATGAAGTTCATGCTTTTTCCGTATGCTTCAGCAGTAGCTTTAGGCCTGTGACCCTACCTGCTGGTGATCATCAGCTGAACCAGTTACTCAGCTCATAATCATCAACTTCGTTTTTGCATGACGGTCTTTCAGCAGGGCTTGCCAGCACCATACAGAGTTTATTACGCTCCATTAAGCGAAATTATTTTTTAAGCTGATGGAGCAGCTGAAGACCATCCTAGCACTTGCGATCCACAGGACCTCCCCACCTGCCTACAGACAAAAGGTTTTTATGCTGTAAGGAAACAAAACTAAATTGTTCTTGCCTTTTTGACTGTAAACACCATGGGACTGCAGACAGATTTACACAGCTGCCAACAGGAACAAGATGTCTTAGAAAATACAAGGTAGCTGAGCAGAGCCAAGTTGGACCCGCAAGTTGAGCAGACACGTCGGTATGGTTTTCTCGTATTGGCAAAGGAACAAGCTAATGTGTTCAAGAGCTTCTGGGTCCAACCACCTACATATCTCTTACAGGTACTCTAGACAAGGTACTCAGCAGCTGCATCGCTGTCCTACAAATATATAGGTTTCAGCATACAAGCCATTACGGTAATAACATGCAAAGTACTATGAAAAAGCAAAAGATATAAGATGATACCTTTCCAAAAAAAGCTTGAAGTAACACCAGTTTTCTTTTTGAAGTAATATCTTTTTCAAGTAAAGCTACATGTTCCAAATCACTTTCGTTTTCATTTTGGAAAACTGCAAGTGTTTTGGCTTGATAGAAACTTTGTTCTTGCTCCACTGTGCAGTGAAGATGAGAGCATGGCAAAGACAAAACTCATTCACAATTTTTATTTTCTAAAATTAGAAAAATATTCCCTTCAAATACTCTAATCAAACAAAGAGATTTATCAGAAGCTTTAAATCTTTTTGCTAGACATTATTCTTTAGCATGCTCAGGCTTTAATGTGTATGTCAGTAGGATGTAAGTGAAATAAACCCAGTAATATTTCGTTACTTCAGTTATTACATTTCAACCAAGGTGTAAGAACTTACGGGCCTTACAGAAATGAATAAAGAAGAAAATGTAAGTAGAGGCAGTGCTCTAGATATATGAATTCCTTCTAGCATGCAATCAGCATGTGATACCAGCAACAAAGCAAAACAGTGACAGTGAGACTTTTTTTTTTAAATTTAAAGATCACATACCTTACTTCTCTCATGACGACTGCACGCCGAAAGAATTTCAAACCAAGTTAATCCCAGTGCATAAATATCTACTTCCTTTCCATATGTGTCCCCAACCTACAAAGATTAGAACAAGAACAATACAGGTGTCAAATCCAACTGGACAGGACTTCTTAAAGCAGAATTTGAAGTCAGTAGAAATTTCCACCCCAAGGCTACAGGACTGGCCTTACTTGATCTTATTAGTCATTAACCCTTTCTGCCACAGACCTTTAAATAGTGACCATTATGTCACATTAAACACACTGAAATTAAGACTTCTAGAGACTTATATCTGCCAATATCTGTCTGTCACAAATAATGACACATACAAGGAGTCAAATGTCACAGTTAACAGAGGTCCTAAATTCAAATTGAAATGCATGGCTGGCAGCCTGGTTTTGCAAGAGCATTGCTTACAGCACACAGTGTCAGTCACTGTAGGCTAGCACAGCAAAATAAAATCACCACACTTGCAGACAGCTTTCTCCAGAATAGTTATCCTCATGTACAGTCATACCAGGGAACTTCAGGCAACTTGGTTTAGTACTGAGATTAGGATTGACAACATCCAATGCTGAGTTTAATGCAAATCTAGTTACAGAGACAGTAATAGCAAGGTAATTACCTGTTCTGGTGCCATATAAAGTTCTGTTCCTCTTTCCTGTGACCGAGTCCCAGATGTCACAGAAGTCACAAGACCGAAGTCGCCTATTTTTATTTTATCTTCATGCGATATGAATATATTCTGAGGCTATATATTAAAAAAAAAAAAAAAAAAAGTCACTATATAACTAAGGTTTATCATCAAGCATAATCAGCCACAGAAGTGCTTCTTATAAAATTTTATCATTGTTCACAGAATTTAGCATTAAGAAACTGATGGGGTGGGAAACAGAAAAAAAAAATCAATTCATTTTTAAAAACACAAACCAGATTTAAAGTAGTACATGCCATAGTAACTGCAACTTTTTTCCCACTAGCTCAGTCATAACTGTATCATGCTTTAATGCTCTTCAAATAACATTGTGCATATAACATTTCATATCCAGGAGTGCTTTTTAATCTTCAATCCTAGCCCTTGGATTTGATACACTTGGGCAAAGCGTTTAGGCTCACATGGAATTCCACTCAAATCATAGTTTCTCCCAGGCACAGCAGGATTATCTGCACCAAGTCAATTGCAGAGTTAGGGCTTACTACAGGCATCTCGCAGTACCACTTAGCAGTTTCCATTGAATTTCCCATTTTTAAATTCTACAATGTCATAAGTGACTAAAAATAGAATTGTATATGCTTGGGTGGAGCTTCCCAAAGAGGTTAAAGAATCACAGAATGCTAGGGATTGGAAGGGACCTCAAAGGATCATCTAGTCCAATCCCCCTGCCTGAGCAGGACCACCTGGATCAGATCACACAAGAACGCGTCCAGGTGGGTTTTGAACATCTCCATAGAAGGAGACTCCACAACCTCTCTGGGCAGCCTGTTCTAGTGTTCTGTTACCCTTACTGGGAAGAAGTTCTTCCTCATGTTTAAGCGGAACCTCCTATGTTCCAGCTTATATCCATTTCCCCTTGTCCTATCATTGGATGCCACTGAGAAGAGCCTGGCTCCATCCTCCTGACAGTCACCCTTTACATATTAATAAACATTAATGAGGTCCCCCCTCAGTCTCCTCCAAGCTAAAGAGACCCAGCTCCCTCAGCCTTTCCTCATAAGGGAGATGCTCCACACCCTTAATCATCTTGGTGGCCCTGCGCTGGACTCTCTCAAGCAGTTCCTTGTCCTTCTTGAACTGCGAGGCCCAGAACTGGACACAATATTCCTGATACGGCCTCACCAGGGCAGAGTAGAGGGGGAGGAGAACCTCTCTCGACCTCTACTACTAACCACACCCCTTCTAATACACCCCAGGATGCCATTGGCCTTCTTGGCCACAAGAGCACATTGCTGGCTCATGGTCATCCTGCTGTCCACCAGGACCCCCAGGTCCCTTTCCTCTGTGCTGCTCCCCAACTGTTCAGTCCCCAACTTGTACTGGTACATGGGGTTGTTCTTACCCAGATGCAAGACTCTACACTTGCCCTTATTGTATTTCATTAAATTTCTCCCCAAAATTTAATGAAATTAAAAGAAAGTTCAGAAAGAAACTACCTTCCTGAACACTATTTAAAATAAAACCAAATAGCCTCATGCTATCTTTTACTCAAAGGAGCACCAGTGGACTGTAAGGCCGGAAGAGACTTAATCATTAACAGGAAGAGCTCTTTGTGTCGAGAATGCCCAATGTAGTTGTTCTGTTCAGGTTTGACCATGTCCACACATTTCATACAGTACCTATGCCTGGCTACACTATTTGAAGACTCTGTGCATACCAGGCAAAAATGGGATTCATCTCAGCTTGAACCTATCCTGCAGCTTTGATTCTGTGACATAGAGATCTCAGATGGCCAAGCATGTAAGTTGATAGTGGATCAAAGTGGGGAGAAAAGTTCCTAAATTCTAATGCAGACAGACAAGTTAGCAACAGGATTTGTAAGCAGGTTACAGCCAGATGCCATGGAAAAGGGACTGGGGCAGCAGATTAATAGGAATAGGGAAGAGTAGCAGGTTGAGTTGAAATGAAAATAAAGTAGGACTGAAGGAGCAAGAAAATACAAAGCACATAGAGTGGGAAGAGCTAAGAATTAAGGGGTGAGGAGAGAAGCCACTTATTAGGCCTCTTTTTCCCAGGTATCTAGGGAAAATAATGAGCATATATTTGTGGTTGGTTCCAGTATTTTAGCAATAAGCCTGATAGAAAAGTTCTAGAAGATAGGAACATATCTGTCCGTAAGAGAAGATTCTTCGAGTGGGCAGTGAACATGGTCTGGAACTACACTATGAATACAAAATGCAAAAGATGATTGCAATCTCTGGCTTAAGAAGTCCATAAACTTCAGGTTACTGGAGGTCTTGAGAGGAAGGGAATATGCATCAAGGACAGCATCACTGTATCATCTCTCAGCTCTAATACTCTCTAGGTGTTTGGAATTAGCCACTATATGAGGAGAACAGCATCCTAGATTAACATTTAATGTGATCTACTACAACTGGTCTTAGGAACATCACCACACTAATGATTTCTTCATAAAGGGAGTGATTTAAAACTCTAAGCAACATTATAGCTGGCATACAAAGCCCTGAAGGCTTGCAACTTTGTCCTTTATAATCTTTATGTTGAAATAAAATCATTTTATGATTGTGCACTTGTAAAGACTGAAATTCTATCCAAAAAGTGACATTCAAATATTTGTTTGCATACGTAATACAAGAGCAACTAGGATATGTTGTTACCAAACACAGTATGTGTTAGGATAGATAAACTATCCCTTTATAATATGGCAAGAGCAAACTTCCTAGACTCGACTTTTCAGTGGTTTTCTTTTAATTATTTTATCAGGTAAAGTTAGTATTTCTTTTCCCGATAGGCAGTCTTGTGACCCAATAACACATAATACACTGAAAACGCCTGTTAGCTGATGACTACTGATTTTTTGAACGACTGCTTTCTGAGATCCTCCAGTTTAAAAACTTCTGATTTTAGGATGAAGTCCAGCCAGTTGCTGACAAAAACTTTATCACTAGCAATATCAGAAGAGGCACACTACTAGGGTACATAATAGACTAAACAAAGATGAGCAAGTTAACATTTTCTGAAATTCCAGTAAGTACTACTGTTATCTATTATTTTTTTTAATTATCTATCCTACTTGCCTTGAGGTCCCGATGAATTAACTCTTTAGAATGAATATATTCCACTCCTTTCAGTATTTGTAGAAATTTGTTTTGTGCCATCTCATGATACTTGCGGTCTTTTCTGTTCTTTTCAATCCAGTTTTCCAATGTCCCTTGTTCACATAATTCCATTTGGATGAAAAGACAGAGAACTTCGTCTGACTTCTGCCTGCAAAAGAAAATTATATACCATATTGAAATTGGAGACACACTGTTCCTCCCAAGCCATCAATGATTCTCAGGTTCCTCTTCTTTAAAAAACTTTTTGTTAATTATTATTATTTTTGGAGTTCCCCAAAACAAAGTCTGCAAGTCCCTTGATTTTAAAAAAGATCCTAGACCAATTTTTACTAGATATAAATAAATAGAACTGCAAACCAAGGAATCAATTGCTACATACCCCTGGAAAATTCCTAACGTTTTGCTTGCTTCCTTGTTCGCACCTAAAGTTTTCTAAGTGCCCAAATTCTGCTCCCCTCATATCTAGAGGCATGTCCTATACAGGAAGAAAGAGCACGCTCCTTGGCTCCCATCTTGCTGTCTAGGAACTGCGGCAAGTCCCTGGCAGGTATTCTCTATTCTGCTCAACAAACACAGCATTAGCCTCCCTCTCCTACCCAGAATGATCACATTCTTTCTAACTCTGTCCCTTCAAGCAGGTAGTGCAGTGACTATCTTTGACATCAGTTAGATAAACCCTTCCGGGAGCCAGAAATCTAGATGAAATATATTCACCCTCCTGACAACCTCACGCTTTCCAGAAAAGTTCCTTCACTATCAGCCCATAGGATAGGCTGAGGCTGGAGATGGTGAGGGGAAGGACAATGTGAAAAGGAGGTGGCCCCGCTTTTTCCTACTTGTCCCGTGTGATCCGAGTGCCCTGGAATAAAGCTGCCTGAGGCACTGAGAGGACAAGCAGTAAGTGGCTTAGGACTCTCTGTAGCCTTGAGGTCAGGGCACTAAGTGGAATTCCAGGCTGGGACCTCAGCTTTGAGGATTTTTTCCCTGCCTTTTACCCAATAACTGTTCAATATAGAATGTGTTAACTGATATTGAGACTCCAACATATTAATGGTTGGGTTTTGACATGAGACTTTTTTCCCCCTATTTTATTCCTCATTTACTGAGCTCACCGTACAGATGGCATGCCAACCATAATTTTGAATTCATTCTAGGTAAGTGTGGCAACCTATCTGAAGGTTGAATGAATTTATGAATCTATGAATTTACAGCTATTGAAAAAGCTTACCACAGAAGCTTTGAAAAGTTAATAACCTAATTTATTAGTAAAACTCTCACCACTGTCTTCCCAGAAGTCTTAGCATTGAAAGACTACTTCTAACTGAAAAACCATTTTGTTTTGTATTTCAACAACCAAAACTGTTTCAGGCATCATGGTTAAAATGCTAACTTACAGAAATAATTAAATCTGAGAGCTACTGGATCACTAATACTTATTAAAAAAAGGAAACTTCCCATCAGGAATTTGGCAGCCAACCGCCAGCCAATTTTTTAGATTTGAGTTCTGTGTTCCTATACTCCTCTATAGATTCAGCAAGTTCTATATATTAAAAGAGAGGAGAAAGATAAAATTACTTTATGTATCTTATTCATCAGGGAAAAGAAGATATAAATGTCCTTAATTATATGTGACCTGCTGTTGAAAAGTACTGTACCTTTTTTCTTAACAGTAAGCATGTCAGTATGTGTATGCATTTATATTTGTATAACGATTTATAGCCAATCATCAGCCTTTCTTTTTACAACACAAAATTTACCATGGCAAACAAGTTTGTGAGTGCAAACTACTATCTTGTAGTTACCCTGAGTCTGGAGAAGGTACACGGTCACACCCTTTCCAGCTAAAATAATACCGCACTATGTTTTCATGGTCAAGTCTTGCAAGTTCTTTTACTTCACGCTTTACATTGCTATTTGGAGGGAGAGAAAAAAAAAAACCAAAATGAAAAAAAAGAAGTTGCATTTCCCTATAAAAATTTAATACTAAGTTCAATAAAAGACGTTATATCAAGTAGCAGTACACAGATACATTAATTTAGAAAAAGAACACAATATTCTCCTTCATACAAGTTCAAAAATTTGGTTACACATTCTGTGGGTTTTCTTTCATCTGCTTAGTTACTCAATATGCAAAAATGTTTTAACCATATTAGAAATGAAAGCCCAAGTCAAAAAAAGCTGAAAAAAGCAGATAGTTGTGATGCGTAATTACATTAGGTAGCCAAACACAATGTAGCAAACATCCATGTTTTCTTTTCACCTCTGTGAAGTTTGTTTACATACACAGAAGTTAGTGTAAATATTCGTGAAAAACTATTACTAAATTTGGCCTGCACTTGTTGTTGTAACATTGTCTAGTAAACTAAATTCAAATCTATCACCAGATTAGCAGCTTCTGTTTGACGAATCAGTAGAATACCTGTAGTATAGTTCTCGGGATTGCAATACAAATTAAAATAACGTATATTTGTGAAGATCACAAGAACCTGAAGGGCAGTTACACAGTGCAAGGGACAAGTATCTCCAACAACTTGAAACTTTTTGAACAGATTACCTAGAAGAATTTCAAGTTTTTCAGCTGCTGATAAAATACTTCACTAGGTACTGGTTACAGAAAATTACTTAAAAAAAAAAATCATCATTCTCTGTTGAGATTTATAAAGAAAAATAACACAGTGTGAGAATAATGACATATATAAAGTATTTTCCAATTACAGACCACAAAATGTATTACTTTAATTTTTCTCTATTTTCCCTAATTATAGTCGTTATGCATACTGATATGTAAATTTGCTATGTATACTGTCAAAAGTAACAGTGCCGCTTTCAATGTTTTATTAATCAGCAAGTTTTCTTCAAACACATTTTACAATATTAATAACCAGAGCACTAGTGTGTTCAGGAAAAGTAGAACTTAACAAATCTACTTTTTTACAGCTGCATCTGAAATTATTCCAGTGCATGCAAAAATGAACAAAGTTGCATGCCATTTTCAGCTTCACTTAGAAACAAAGAAAACAGTTTACCAGAAAGAACTGACGATAATGAAAAGTGCTTAAATGCTTCTAGGATTATTAAAGAGACAAAACAAAGTACTAAATTCTTAATTAAAGTTGTCCTAAAGTAAAAAACCAGAAGTAAATATACAGTACATACTTCGCGAATTCAACTCGTTTGACTGCATAGGTTCTCTCGTCAAGCTTTCCTGTTGCTTTGAAAACATTCCCAAAACCACCTTCACCAATAGGCTCTATATTTTTAAAACTCTCAAGGAATCTTTGGAAAAAAAAACCAAAACAAAACAAAAAAAGATAGGTAACTTAAGTGTCCTTAACATGACATTTACAAGATATAAAACCAATCCTGACAGATCTAATATACCTGCTGAAATACCATTCTACAGGGAGCACTCAACACCTATACAGGTCTAAATCACAGTCTTGAAGATTAAAAAAACAAGGGAAACTGACACTTGAAAGCATGTAGGGTAACTACCTTCACTTCTTCACACAAATAACTTTTGGTTGTATATCAACCAATATATCATTATATATATAAATATTTCATAGATTTCATAGATTTCTAGGTTGGAAAAGACCTTAGAGATCATCGAGTCCAACCGTCCCTAATCCCCATTAAACCATATCGCTAAGTAGATCATCCACCCTATTCTTAAACACATCCAGGGATGGGGACTCAACCACCT